AAACCAAAAGGAGACAGAGAAAAAAAAAAAAAAAAAAAAGGAGAGGTGGTGGTGATTGGGTGTAAGAGAAATATCTCTATAGAGTTTCAGGTGTACATACACCTCAGCATAGAATGCTTGTTATATAGAACGATAGGTTTTTTTGTTTATTTTAGCCGGAGAAACGAAATTAAAATAATATAATATATTATTTGCGAAATAAAAACAAAAAAAATATTTATTTTTTATAGTTTTATTGATTTATTTTTAGGTTTAGGGGAGCCGCTAATTGGGGTGTATAGGCAGCTAGTGGATGGCCTCATGTTTGTTGCTGGTCTGTATGCACGTAGCGGTGTATATGTTTATTTTTTTTCGTTTTTTTTTGTAAATTAATTAATTAAATGTTTTTTATTTTGTTTTTAATGATAAATAAAAAAGAAAACACAAAAAATAAACAGAAACAACCGCTGTATCCGTATACACCCCAAATCTACACCGTTGACCGCATCACCACTACCAGACCACCAAGGATGCGCATACTGCGTTATTTTTGTTTATTTTTTTTTTTTAATTAAATTAATTAATTTAATTTATTAAAATAGCTTTTTTAATTTATTTTTTTCACATTAAATGCATATGAATACGCTGATTTTCTTGGCGGTCCCGCAGCGGTGAGGAGGGCCTCACCACCGGAGCCTTTTTTCTCTCTCTTTCTTTTTTTCTTTTTTTCTTTTTCTGTCTTCTTTTATTTTTTTAATTATTTCAAACAAATTAAATTATTTTGCGTTTATTTACTGAGTTTATGTTGTTACATATATCACTAGGTATCTAGCTGGGTTTGTTGGTGTTAGTAGCGGGTGCAATTGAGGTGTACATACACCCCAAAACATATACATATAATACACCGTTTTTTTTCTTTTTTTTTTCTTTTTTTTTCTGTGTATACTGCATCATCACTACTGCATGCATATGGATGGTCCCGGGGCCTTTGGGGGCCCCTCCCCCTCTCGTTTTTCTTTATTATCTTCTGCATATGAACGCAGGCGGGTGTATAATCAGCTAGCCCTGGATTCCTCTTCTTCTCTACAACAAAGAGAAAGGGACCTACACAGACTCGGCCGCACCTCCTCCCCCTCCCTGCAGGCCCACGAGGCTGCGCTGCGTCACCGCATGCGCAGCCAGAACCAGAGGAGACCCTTTTTGCCTGATGATAACCTGCTGCTGCAGCAGCAGCAGCAGCAGCTGCTGCAGCAGCAGCAGCAGCAGCAGCAGACGCTCGGCAGGCACAGCGCTTCTAGAGCGGCATTACGTAAAGCCTCCAGAGGCGCAACTGCAGCAGACCAACTGCAGCAGCAGCAGCAGCAGCAGCAGCAGCAGCAGGAAGAGATGAGTAGTCCTTTTAGCTACCCACGACACAGCAGCAGCAGCAGCAACATCCACAGCAGCAGCAGCAGCAGCAGCAGCAGCAGCAGAGTTTCCTTCTGGCCCGGCACCACCCTCAGGCCCATAGACAGGTCCTTCTCCCCCCCCAACGAAGCAGCAGCAGCAGCAAGAAGAGCTCGCAGCTTGTCTCCTGGGGGCCCCTCCTTTGCTGGTGCTGATGAGGGTACACCCCAGGGGGGCCCCCCTGCTGCTGCTGATGAGCATACACCCCAGGGGGGGCCCCCCTTCTTCGGTGCTGGCTGCCCCCCTTCAACTCAAGATAAAAAACAAGTTCGTTATATATATATATATATATATATATATATATATATATATATATATATATATATATATATATATATA